AGCGATTATTTTTATACAAACATGTCTCAATAGGTGATGACCGCTCAAGTGTGGAGAAATGTGGAGAAACATCAGTGCTGGGTCAATTTTCAGGAGGGCAGTCTGCAAATGCACAATGGCTGGTCTTGTGTGCAAAAACCACAAGCAGCGGTGAAAGCAGATACCTGATCATTTTAAATAAATCAAGGTAATGCAAAAAAACAAAACGGACATTCAACCATAGCAGAAATTATAAGAGCAGCAATATGGCTTGCTGAGTATTCCTGGTGGTGGTTGTTTTAAAGCTGTCACTCAACTGTCAAGTGGGGGAATGCAGTTCTTTCATTACAAAAATGACATTAATGAGCTGTGTGTGCGATTCTCATGTTTTTACCACTTTTCCAATTAAACTATTTTCTGTGCTGGTGAACGGCTTGTGAAATTGTTTCTTCTCTGAAATAAGTAATGTGCACAACTGCAATGTGCTTTTGGCATTTTACAAAAAGTGTGAAGCATTTTCAGGTCATTGCCCAGTCCTTTGTAGATTTCTCTAGTTATTGCAGATGTTGTTATTTTCTTTCTTTAATGTTAATATTACTGAACTTGTTTCATTTTCCCTGTGAGCTGCCTTGGGATTTTTAATGAAGGGTGGTATAATGGTGTTTTAATTAAATAAATATCTAATACTTAATGAGGGGCTGGTTGAGCATCCATTTCTTCAGTCACCCATACTTGTTTCCTTCCTTCACCTCCTCTGCCTGCCACTTCAACAGAATTAAGAGGAAGTGGCAGCAAATGTTTAATAGCCCTCTGATGAACTCCTATACTCTGATGTAGCTCAATAAAGCCTCCTAGAACCTCTGGAAATCTCAGAAGAATGGTGAGTAAGCATATCCATAAACTATGAGCAAGCATATCCTGTCCTTTGTCTTTGAATAAGCACCCAGGAGATATAGCTGGTTTTCACAATGGTTCAACAGGACTGAACTGGTTAAGACCTTTAGTAATGTAAGCTCAGAGTCCTTAGGGAGGTGGAACTAGCCTCACAGTAATTTTATGATTGGCCAAAAAGGCCCCTGACATCACAGATGGAGCAAATTTCATGGTAGGGTCAAATAACAATTCATTTTGGGAAAGAAATTGGCTTCTACTGGTCTCTTATTCTTAGCCATATGTGAGACTTTACTCTCTATTTTTGACTTCATGGAAATGTCCAAAGATGCTGACTCTCAGAAGCTCTCTTCTACAAGGAACTCTGCATATCTTCTGAATCCCAAGAGCCTGCTCAAGCAGATAGGATGGAACTAGAGCTAGACTGGCTTTATTAATATATTTGAATGCGGCCTTCCCTCTTCTTCCTTTCCACATTTTTCCTAATACAATTAATCCAATTTGGACATTTGGCTTTGTTAAGTTTTAAATAGCAAGCAGCTATTTACAAACTGTTCCTAGAATGCGATGGTAGCTCTGTCAATGTTATTTCTTTATTTTTAGACTGCGGAATAAAACTAGCCTTTTCCATGTGTCTGTGATTCTCTTCGATAATAATCTAGTTAATCCCATATTTGGCTATGATTATATTACCAGACAGAGCATTCCACACTGAAGGAAATGCAGAATAAAATAAATATAAAGCAATTATAATTAGGAATTAAGCTTCAGGATAAAATCTAAGTCATGTGACCCTTTAGCAGCCCTTTGATCTATGAGACCAAAAATTTGAGTTGCAAAACGTACATTCAATAGCTTCTATTTGTTCTCATTCCCTAAGACTGAAGATGTGCCACAATACAGTATTATAACGAAGTTCTCATATCTGCTGATGTAACCACAGTCTTTCATATCAAGTATTTCTAGCTTAGTATATATTTAATGACAGCCTTTAATTATACTTGGAATTTTTAAGGTTTTAACTTCTTTTTTGTTACCAACATCTGACTTTTATTGACAATTTTAAGGTATGTTTTGCATTCTATGTAAACCGCTTAGAGGTTCTGACAATTAAGCACTATTAAAAAGATGACAACAACAACAACAACAACAACAACAACAACGTATTCTGCATGAGCCCCATTGGAATGAATGGAGAGCTGAGCAAGAAAAAATTATTTTGAAACACTATGGCCACATCCACAGACATGAGAGCTGTGTTATACAATATCTGGCATTTTTAAAACCTCGGTGAAGAAAAAGATTGACGGTCCATTTCTCAAATAAAATCATTAGTCTCATAGATCTGAAGGAACGTCCAAGTCTCATAGCTTTCATTTCCATTCTGTAAATTAATTCCTAACTGTAATTTCTTCCAGTTATTTTTGGCAGAACCTCCTAAGATGGAATGTTTTGTTTCTTTCTTCTAGCCCAACCCTGTCTAAGAGGATAATCTTGAAAGCTTGCAGCTGTAGTTGATTAAAGCAATTAAATCTTTTTTTAAAAAAGCAAAAGGTATCCTCAATTAATTGTGTAAGCCGTTTTTTTTAGAAAAAATATTATTTAAATGCAAGCTCTTATGAAAGGTGCAGGTGGCAGGCACAACCTGAGAAGAGACGTTTCCCGGTACAGTGGTACCTCAGGTTAAGAACTTAATTCGTTCTGAGGGTCTGTTCTTAACCTGAAACTGTTCTTAACCTGAAGTACCACGTTAGCTAATGGGGCCTCCCGCTGCTGCCGTGCCGCCACCACACAATTTCTGTTCTCATCCTGAAACAAAGTTCTTAACCCGAGGTACTATTTCTGGGTTAGCAGAGTCTGTAACCTGAAGCGTCTGTAACCTGAAGCGTCTGTAACCCGAGGTACCACTGTACTTTCATTTATACAGCATACATAAGGGAATGTCTCTTCCAAAATGGCACTTACTGCATGCAACGCAAGGGTGGGCTAACCTGTTTCAGGCCCAAGGACCACAATCATTCTTGGCTAATTCTCTAGAGGCTGCATGTCAGCTGTGCATGTGGCCAACACACAGACATATTCTCACATGCACGCACACCGTGTACACAGGCACAAAGTCTCCCCCACTTCAACCGACTTTTGCATCCCTTCCTATTCTTCAGGTGACTGAGCCAATGAGCGGAGAGGAGGCGATCTGCATCCCCATTGCAGTGCTGAGCAGCTGAGGTTTAAGCTGCCAGTATGGGGATGGAAACCACTCCATCCCAGCTTGACTCTAAAAACAAAGGCATTATGCCTCTTTGTTCAAAAAACTAACCAACAAACTGAAACTGACACGGGGACAAATAGAAGAAGACGCCTTCACCTCGGTATAGTTACCCTTTATCACATACACAGCCCAACAAGACAACAGCAAGAACTCGCCAACAGGATTCGAATCAATCTGGCTAACTTGATCCAAAAACACGCACACACCCCACTCACACACGAAAACATAGTTCACCACAGCCAACCAAAGACAACCAACCACACCCTAGGCCGCCCGCAACCTCTCTCACAACCAAAGGAATACAAGCGAATAGTCAAGAGAACTCACACAAGTGACGCTGACACAAAACCCACACATACACCAAGTAGGATAGAAGCATTGCCACCCAACCCCACCCCACACACCATTTCCCCCCCACCTCTTCCCCCCTTTTCTTCCTAATGTAACACCAATGTTTCACAACAAATGAAACTGATCTGTAGAAAACGCAACTTGAAAAAAAGAGACAATGCACGTACTTTTGTAAACGAAGAAATTTTAAATAAAAGTATATTTTTAAAAACCGGCTGTTTTATTCATATGCAAACTTATGCCATTTTATTGATTGATCTATTAAAATAGCGCAGGCTAATGAAGAATGCTTGCTTCAGCTATGCGACAGCCCTATTAAAAAAAACTCATGTAGCCTATTATGAGGTTAATGAGATGACTATCATGCTTGTGTGCAGCTGCCTTTATTTCAGGCATACCTTCCCCATAGACAGGACACTAGGTAAGGCAGAACCTCAAGCTGATCATCTACCCGATCTTAAATGCATCAACAAATTCAAAATGCCAGCTGAAATGAAAAGAATTGCTTGAGGGGTTCTTCTTGTTGACGCTGCTTGCTTAAAAAACAACAAAACTACTACTGAATGCAAGTACCGTTTCTATTCTCCATCTCTAAAATTAGGTAAACCACCATATGGTTGCTTCTTTGCAAAGCTATAATTTCCCCACCCCCCTCAAATGTTGACTGAGATTCTGGCAGTTCTTCTTTAAACATTAGGCCTAAAATATAAACAAACAACTCCCGCAATCATTCATTCGAAAGATCCTTTTTTATTATTTTTTCTCAAAACACAGCTCTCCATAATGAAAAGGAATAAACATGAACCAAGATTGCTGTAGAGCAACCTATAATCCTCTTGATGGAGGAATGGGGGGGTGCCGGGGGGGGGGAGTGCCGCTGCCCCTGAAGAAGCAATGCTTGATTTCTGGCAGCTTTTTTGGAATTGGGCTGGCGCATAAGCAGCCATCGAGGGAGATCGCTGTGCTTCCTTGCCACCCCCACAACTCCAAACAATGTACAAGGGAACAAATGTACGGCACAGCTACTCAACTAGGAAGTCTACGGGGATGTTCTTCCCCAAGCAACTGCGCACACGGTGAAAGGGAAGAGACAGAATCCGTTACATCTAGACAACGGATCATTTGTAGAACGATTCTATCACATTTCTTAATAAAAACAATGGCTGGCATTCACTCTTGGGGGAGTGGGTAAGCACTCTGGGACACAGCCCCTGACACTGGGATGCCCGGCCTCCATTGAAAGGGATTTTTTTGAGGGGGAGGTTGTGTGTGTGTGTGTGTGTGTGTGTGTGTGTGTTATAGAGCATACAGAGATGCATTGTGTGCTCCCAAGTGTATCTGCAACTTGCCCTCCCAGTGGAAATTTTCCTAGTTTTAAGTACATGTACCAGTACATGAAAATGGGTTAACTCAGCCCTTGGCTTACAGACAAATACAACAGTATCACTGAACCACTGAGCTGGAGGGGACCCTGATGATCATCTAGCCCAACCCCCTGCACAACAGGAACCGTTTGCCCAATGTGGGACTTGAACCAACGAAGCTGAGATTAAGAGTCTCATGGTCTACCACCTGAGCTATGTATCCGTACCTGTATGGTCAAACAAAAAGTGACGTGGAAGGTTCATAACTGGATCTTCCAACTTATTTCTGTTGACACTTAAAAGCAGGTATGAGAGGGGATATAGACTGGGATTTCCCCACTGGGATTTACTTTTCCCCGCTGTGGTCTTTCTCCAGTTTGCCTCCCTAAATTAGCTGTTAATTTGTGGGGTCTCGTCTCTTTATTCTTTCCACACTTTTTAGTGGATTAAACTGCATCAGCTATGTGATTAAGACACAAAGATTCTCAAAACTAAAATCCATTGTCAAATGAAAATTCTGGCAAATCAAGGAACATAACCAATTCCTACTGAGAGCTAGCTACATTATTTGGGGTTTTTTAAATCATAAAATCAACACATGGAGGTATCTTTTCCATACATCAGTGAAAGATACCAGATAACCCTCTGGGATGATCATTAAATCAGTAAGAAAAAAGCAAGTCATGGCAATACTGCCACATGTTTGCTTCCACCAAGATATTTCTCTCTCTCTCCTTTGCTCAAAGGTCATCACCATACTTCATTCCTTGTTCCTAATGATACCAGTGGGTGTGCTTTTGATGTTTTCTCCTATTCAGAATGATATATGGCATTATTCACCCCACTAGTTGGCTTTCTAGCCTTGCAAACAAATATAAACATTAGGGGAAGAGAAGCAGCCACCTGTAAAATTGGTGAGAAAAACAAATACATGTCCTCCAACGCAGACCCAGACTGGCAATCTTGCAGCCCTCGGAAATGCTAGAGGGGCTCGTGTACTCAAGGGTTGGGGTATGTGTCAATATCCGTGGAGGGAAATATTGCATCAAATGGATCGTGCCTGTGCACAGTCCTTGGATTTATTTCTCGTATTTACAAAGTGCTACTTTGGTTTCACTGGCTGGTATTCTGGGAAACAGCAGGAAGATGGAAGGTTCTTTCTTACCCATCAGTCCCTTAGCATGGAAATAATAATATTTGGTGTGTAGTATGCTAAAAAGCTCTTACACAAGGGGAAGACAGAAGGCCATGATCCTTTTGCTGCAGATTCTAGAGGAGTCTGGTGCTGAAATCCGAAACACAAGAGCAATCTCAGTATTGATTTTATACTCCACAGAATCTGCTACAGGATATGCTTCCCAATATCCCAGTTAAATAAAAGTACTTGTATTTAATTTGACAGTGGTTCTTAAGCACTGCTGCTTCTGGAAGAAGCCCCAAAGGTCCCCATGGAACTTTTTTCCAGAGTAAACTCTGTAGGATTGCACCCTTGGCGGATTTGAATCTAAACAATTTGACTTAAACTGGCCAGCGTGAAAGGGCAACAAAAGCCAACTTCTCTCTCTTTCTTTCACCACCTTTATTCTGGCGGGGGGCGGGGGGGAGACCCCAACCTAAAACAAAAGCCTATTATAAGATTTAGAACTACCAAAGAATAGGGAGGGGTAAGACTCAAACTTTACAGTATCATATCTGAAAGATGCACCTTCAGGTAGAACAAGGAAAGGGGAAAAGGGGGAACAAGGAAAGGGAAAAAAGACAAGCAATAACAATCATGGGCAACATAGACACATTTTGGGAGAATGTATTCATTTTCATGAAGTCTGCTTTCTAATGCTTTGGAAGGGGTAGAATTTTCTGTGCTTAAATCAAGAGTAGTGGGTTGAAGTGGAAACATTAAAGGAGCAAACTTCAAGCCACACACACTGGGGCTGCAAGAAGTGACAATTTTCCTGTTTCTTCTTACACTAGTGGTCAACAACATCTTTTATCTGAATGCCTCAGCTGGATCAGAAGCATTCATCACATTTTTGTTGTTGTGGACCAACTGCAGGTGCTATGTATTCCTAGTATACAATCTGAACTGGGACTGGTGTGCTATAAATGCCAACGCCAGTTCTTAATCCCAATTCATTGTTGTCCCCAAAGCAATGAATAGAATCGGTTCTGTACACACGCAGGCATCTACGCTTCATCTCCATTGCTTAGGCCATGTACGTATAGTAGTCGGCAGTCTTTTCTCCCTTTACCACATATAAGCATAGGGCAGGATAGCAACCTTCTTTGAGCAAAGACTTTCACTGGTGGCCTCTAGGGCTAGGTGATCTATTGGTACATTGCCCAAAAACAGTTTGAAGTCCATATTGTGATATCGGTTTCATAGTTCTTGACCTGGCAATATATCGTGAATCATGATGTGTGTGTTATGAAAAATCACAATGTGGGAAAAACCGTGAAGCCAGCCAATGCCTTTACATAGCTCCATCCTTATTTCAGACACTGTGATATATCAGTATGTTGTGATGTTTAACTGGTGATATATCACGAAGCTGAAAACAAGCTCCATCCTTATTTCAGATATCGTGATATGTCAAGTATATCACAATGTTCAGCTGGTGATATATTGCAATGTTGAAAACCAGATCTTGCTCAGCCCTATCTAGTGACCTCTGGGAATATGATTTGTTTGTATGATTCTTCAAACTCCATTTTTTATTTATATAGTAAAGACTTTCTCTGACTGAAATGCTTCAGACTGCAAGTGAGGAAGGGATTGCATGTGTGCTGCCTCAGGAGAAAAAAAAGAAGTTTCTTGCCCATAGGAAAAGAGTATAATGAGGAAGAAGGTTGGGATGAACCCATCTCCTGTTTCCTATATGTAGTAGGTGCTTTAATGCGACAGCAAAAAAGCAATCCTTCTTTACTTGCAACCTGAAAGAACTCAGTCCAAGGAAGGGGAAATTGCCATTTGATTCTGCTGAATGTATAAACTGGCCTTGGCCTAGTTCACTGTGATCTTTGCTAGAAAAATGGCTCCACTACTAGTCTAGACAGTCTGGAACTACCTTGCATCCTTTTGGCTGCTTTTCCCAACCACCCCCTTGCTTCTGTCTGCCAAGCTTTGGACTGACTCCTGCATTCTTGTCTTGACAACTGGATCTTGCATGCCTGCTGTAAATACTATGTACAAAAACTCCAACTGCCATCCTATGTGCTCTCCCAAGCCACCCTTTGCGTGGCGTGCAGAGTGAGTCCTCTACATTGCCGAACACTGTGGCTACCCCAGCTGTTTCTCTAGCACTTGGTGGAGATGTAAGCTCAGATTGGTGCTGCTTTTCTAGTGATATAGCAATGCTGTATTATTATTAATGCAATGCTACAGAAGCTGCCCACGTATATGTGCTCTGTCTCCTGGCTTGACAGGACTAGGTCTTTTATTAATGCCAAAAGAAACTAAGGGTTCCAGCATGGTGTTGTGGTTAGAGTGCTGGATTAGGACCTGAAAGAACAGGGTTCAAAACCCCGCTCAGCCATGAAGCACACTATGTGACCTTGGGCCTGTCACTGTCTCCCAGCCTAACATACCTCACAGGGTGATTGTCAAGATAAAATTAGGAAGGAGGAGAACCATGCAAGCTGCCTTGAATTCCTTGGAAAAAAGCTATAAATATAACAAACAAACAAACAAACAAACAAACAAACAATAAATAATGAATATAAAGTTGACAATAGCTTAAAATAAATAAGTGTTTTTGCAGTGAGCACTGATGAGAAATGGAATGTATCCTAAATAAATGAATTTTCTCCAAGCAGAAAAGTATATGTTGATTATCAGAGGACGAAGGAAGTTTAGCAAACTCACATTATTTAAGAAATGGGTGATGCACTGGAGTGAAGCAATGCTACACAGAAAGATGTTCTGCTTGTTTTGTTTATTTTTGCAAGATGTCTGCCTATCATTGTCCTGGAAACGATACAATAATCTAAAAGCAAAACAGGATGTAAATATCTCTGGCAACTGACTAGAAGCATTACTTCAAAAAAGATTAAACCATTACAAGATTACAGCACTGTCCTTCATAGGACTATACATATTTGCTTTTAGAAAGTTGTGTTTCATCATTGGCACAACACACCTCACTTTATCAGTGATGCAAACCTACATTCACACTGCCTCCTTTCCATAGCTGTACTTCTCAAGTGTCTGCATTTAAGAGCCCTCTCTGAAAAATGTGAATACCTAACACAGCACACAGAGAGCAGGTCATACCAAAACTCAGCCACAGGTAGGATTGTGAGTAAACCACAATTATGTGTAAGCTGAAGAGAGACCAAGGACTGTTGCATGGTGGGCATCTTCCTACCAACTTCATGTTTCATTTAGAATGAACATGAAAATAAGCTTCTAGCCCTTCTAGTTGGTGAGCAGTGTTTGAAATCAGCCTGGCGCCAGACACGTTTTGCTATGGGCTGGCAGGTCCAATTGCGACTACATGGAGATTTCTGGGTGCCAGCTTGGCAGCCACAGTTTAAAAACCTCTTCCTTAGTCCATCGTTAATATCGTTTCCATTTCCACTGTGTGGGTTTCTCCTTCCTGCACTGGGACAAGTGAATTGTTGTAAGAGCAAGCTACAGTCAAGCAATGTAGTTGAGATCATAGAATCATAGAATTATAGCGTTGGAAGGGACCCCGAGGGTGATTTAGTCAAACCCCCCAGTGAATAGACATTCCGTTGTGGTGACTGCAACCTAGATTCAAGATGCCATTTGGCGCTCAGCTTATATACCTGAATTTCTAACACTGTAGAGATCTCAGAAGAGAGGAAGGCAGTACAGTACCTGCCTGTCCTTGCATCAGATATCACTGCTTTCTACCTCCCTCTAGAACACTGTTCTACTAAGTATAATATCTAGTGCTGAGCATCAGCACCACAGTGGTGACTTCTGCAGAAACAGCTATCTCCCCAAGATCACTGCAGCCTCGATCAACAGCAGTCCATTTGCAGACCAGCCATAGGAACTTTGAGATGGCTGTGGGAAGTCCTTACTCAATATCCTAAGAACAGAGTGCAAGCTCCATAGAAAAGGAAATGTTTTGAATACAGAAGTTCTCAGGTTCGATCCCTGTCACCTTCAGTTAAAAGGGGATTTCATTGTTGGGTATGCTCCCTCTTAAATGAATGTAGGGTTACAATCAAGATTAACACTGGTCTAGGTGAGA